TCTTCATTCCTCACCTTAGTTTTCTTCTTCCGCAGACTAATCCCTTCCGCGCGCTTACAGCTTCTTGCGCTTCAAAGACTGCACCAGCAGCTGACCTTTTCTCTCGATCAGTTACCCCATCTCGAAGCTTCCACCGCCATTGATGATGTTCTATGCTTGTTAGAGTTGTTGCCGCCTGCAAAAGTTATCTGAGGTATTGGTGAAACCCTTAGCAAGAGAGCTGGAGTGGGGGAAAATGCTGCTTCGTTCTGTTGGGTCTTAATTCACCGGAGTAAATCAATCACTCTGAATGGTCAAAGTTAGGGTGAAGAAGCGAGTAGTAGTTCTGGATCTGGAGGGGCTGGGGTTTAGCTCGCTGTTTAATTAATCACATTAGCTGTATTTGATTGTCTAGAGTTTAGGGAATGAATAGCCTTTTTAGCTTCCTGGGTTTCAAGTGATTGTGGTACGAGAGTTTGACCAGGATCTGAATTGGTTTATGAATTATGAATCTTCTTTTTCCTTTTATGGCTGATTGGCATTTGACGAAGCATTGTTGTTAAGATTCGCAATGTGCATTTTAATTGAGATTAACTACTTACCTAATGACTTCTTATTTAATTTCTTTTTACTTCTTAATGAACTGAATTGGGTCATTACTCTCCTCTATCTGGTCAAGTTGAAGACTGTTCACCGCTGACAATTTAGCTCAGTGTTCGTCACACTATCATTTTCCAATGGAAGAGTGAGTATTTGATCCGGGCATCTCATTATGTGAAATTGTAGTGAACAAGGGTTTGGATCTTTTGACTTACCGGATGGTTGTGTGCTTGATGTTCTCAGGGAAAATGCGGTTGAGCTTCTACAAAGGTTCCGGCGGGACAGGCGTGTACTTCTGGATTTTATACTTTCTGGTAGCTTAATTAAGAAAGTGGTCATGCCTCCTGGGGCAGTTACGCTGGATGATGTGGATCTCGACCAAGTTAGTGTAGACCATGTTCTCAATTGTGCCAAAAAAGGTGTGTCAAACAAGCATGTTATCAAATGGTTGCTCTGAAGTTTATGCGATTTTCTTGTTTATACTTCTACCTTTCCCTTATAAAGCTGTTGGTTTGTGTAGGTGGAATGCTTGAACTTTCTGAGGCTATACGAGATTACCATGATGGCACCGGCCTACCCCAGATGGTAAGGATCATTGAATTTGTTTTGAAGAATTAAGTGATGGATAGATAGGTTTGATTAGTTTTATTTAAAACTCTTGGCTATTAATAATTCCAAAATTTTGATGCTTACTACATTTTTTTTTACACAAGGATGAAGTTAATTTTTCTTTTATCCCTCTTGAGTACATTATAACTCTCTTTCCAATTTCAGAATAGTACAAGTTCCGCAGATGAATTTTTCTTGGTTACCGATCCTGCATTTTCTGGTTCACCTCCAAGGAGAGCACCGCCATCTATTCCAGCTTCAACTCCTATTTCAGTGGCTGCTCCTGTTTATGCGCCATCACCTGTTGCATCACTATCAAGTGTGGCAAAGTCAGAGTCCTTTAATTCCGAGGAAGAGAGAGAACTGACTGTGGATGACATTGAAATTGATGATTTTGAGGATGATGATCTTGATGCTGAGGAATTTGCCAGTGCTAGGGTTGTAAGACGTAATACAAATGATGCTTCTGATCTTGTCCCCAAATTGCCAACTTTTGCTACAGGTATAAAAGCGGAATTCAAGAATTAGTTCATTGTTTGTGACAAGGTCACAGACTGAAGTGCTCATACAACTGAGGTCCTATTGTGTTGATACTTTGGTTGGACATTCTCCATCCCTGCCCCATAACAAATAAGAAATTTACATAAACACTACATATGCTGAATACATATGATTCAATTTACTCATCATTTTCTTTTCAGCTACAGTTTACCATGTATGCCTCTTCGACTCATTTTTCATGGTCGCAAGCGTAGAGCTGTAGACAATTGCAAAATCTGCATTTTATTGTTGCTTGAGAACTGCAAACACTGGGTTGTTCTACTGACAGTTTGATCATGATTGTTCTAAGGCATCGCTGATGACGACCTCCGTGAAACTGCATATGAAGTCCTCTTGGCTTGTGCTGGGGCAGCTGGGTAAGTTTTATTTTTATTTCTTTCAAAACTGCAGTTATTTTATTTGTGATAATGAATTGTTTTTTTTTTTCCTGTTCCCTTTCTCCTGCCCTTATGCATGCTGTTCATTTCATGTTTAGCTTTCTGCAAAATCACTCTTTGATTCTTCTTCTTGTTCTTCTTGTCTTCATCATAAAAAGAGGCCTCATAGTTCCTTCAAAGGAGAAGAAGAAAGACAAAAAGTCCAGACTGATGAGAAAACTTGGACGCAGTAAAACTCAGACTCTTGCAAGTCAGTCTGAGCGTGCACCTGGGATGGCTGGTTTATTGGAAACCATGCGTGCCCAGATGGAGGTAACTACAGCTTCAATCTTTGTTTTGTAAGATGTCTGAATTCTAGGAACACAATGGATTCAATAGTGCTAAGTTATTCCGGGGAATTTTGGTGTCTGTGTTTATTGTGGATGCAGATATCTGAATCAATGGATATCCGAACGAGAAAAGGGCTGCTTAATGCCCTGACTGGAAAAGTTGGAAAAAGAATGGATACTCTGTTGATACCCTTGGAACTCTTATGCTGTATTTCTCGCACAGAATTTTCTGACAAGAAAGCTTATATACGGTGGCAAAAAAGGCAGGTATATTCTGCCCCCTCCCTCCTCCTTCCTCCTTCCTTGTTTTTTTGTTCTTTTTCTTCCTATATCCTTTGTCTAAGTTCCTGATAAAAGCTTTAAAGTTATAAGCTAGGAAGGAATTAACTGATACTATTTTCAACATCTGGTACTTTTTCTACAGCTGTACATGCTAGAGGAGGGCCTTATCAATCATCCAGTTGTGGGATTCAGTGAATCTGGGCGCAAGGGAAGTGAGTTGAGGATTCTTTTGGCCAAAATTGAAGAATCTGAGGTCTGAACTTTTCCCCCTTCGATGGTTGTATTCATTCTCACACTTTTTGTTAACTGCAAATCTAGATTTTACTATTAGAAAGGGCAGGGTTGAGGGACATGGTTTTCTCGCGTATGTTTAATATGTTTAATTGTCCATAATGGTTCTTTCTTTATGGAGTTCTTGGGTGGCTTTTCAATTTCAGAATTTGATTTTATAGTCCCGAAGCTAGGGCCATGCTGATATTATTTGTGATGTTTCCGTTTCTTTAACTCTATCTTAAGGATCCTCATTTCTTGAAGTTTGGAAGGCTGGGATGATCCAACTCAGTAGCGTTTTTTGTTTTTTCGTCAGTTTTTTCTTCTTGAGTTGCTGTAAATATAATTTTCTCTATCTCAATGCATGATACAGTTTCGTGAATCTTCTGCGGGTGAAGTGCAACGAACTGAATGCCTGAGATCGCTCAGAGAGATTGCTGTTTCACTTGCTGAGAGATCAACTCGGGGAGACTTAACTGGTGAAGTTTGCCATTGGGCCGATGGATATCCCCTCAATGTCAAATTATACGAGAAGCTCCTCCTCAGTGTGTTTGACATTTTAGATGAGGGGAAGCTGACGGAGGTTAGTTTTTAATTTGCTACCTGAGGCTAAAACATTTATGCTAGCACACAAGCTGCTGATGTTGCAGCGGTTACACAGAATTTTTTACCATCTAAAGTTGGATTCTTTTCCAAATCTAGATAACTTGAGATCTATAAGGTGTGCCTGATTATTGTGACTGATAATTCTTTGTTATTCTCAGGAAGTGGAGGAAATACTTGAGCTCTTAAAGTCAACATGGCGTGTCTTGGGAATTACTGAGACCATACACTATACTTGCTACACATGGGTGTTATTCCGCCAGGTATTAACTTTTCATTTCTCCTTGAGTTCTCGGTTCTTAAGGACCATGGCGAGTCTGATTCTGCAATTGAAGCATAATATTTTCCTGGGAATTGACTTATGTTCATTGCTGTCATCTCGGTTCATGCTCCACAGTTTGTCATCACCAAGGAGCTGGGAGTCCTGCAACATGCCATTGAGCAGCTCAACCGAATACCGCTAAGGGAACAACGGGGCCCTCAAGAGAGATTACATTTGAAAAGTTTGTCTTCAAGAGTTGATGGCCAGGAGTTGTCCTTTTTGCAGTCGTTTTTGTCACCAATTCAGAAGTGGGCTGATAAGCGGCTAGGAGACTACCATCTGCACTTTTCTGAGGCATGTGGTAAATCCATTGGACACGCCAATTGGTGGTGTCATTATTTTGCGATCTAATGACGTTTGAATTCCCTTCCACAATGGAGAGAAGTTTGGAGTTAGTGACTAAATATCGACTGCCATAGCAAATTTTTCCTTCGACTGCTGTGAAATGAATATTTACTATAATCTAGCACCCATTTATCTTTATCCCTTTTCTTTCTCTTTTAATGCTTTTTCTCACTGGTCATTTACTTGTTTCAATGGTTACTTTGCTATGCATTCCCTTGTTTTAGGATCCAGCAGTGATGGAGGGTATTCTTCAAGTTGCAATAGTCACTAGGAGGCTTCTTGTGGAAGAATCTGAAACTGTAAGTAGTAACATCCTTCTGTGTTTGCAATTTCATGGGTGTGCACTTAGGGAACTTTCTAGAAATGGAACATTTACTTTGAACCTTTGTGATTGCTTTACAATATATCATTCATTTTTTTGAAACTTGCATACTTAATATTTTCTGCAGGGAATAGTTTCTACATCTGCCATGGATCGTGATCAGATTGAATCATACATATCATCGTCCATTAAGACTGCATTTACAAGGGTAAGTGTGTTCATATAGGCTCAGTCGAATTCCTATTCAAGAAATTAAGAAATTCTGCAATGCACCCTAAACATAAAAAACGTGTCTCGTTAACTTGAAAGTTGGTTTCGCTACTTTTGACTAAAAAAATTCCAGATGATTATTTGCAAAATTCCAGATGATTATTTGCCCCAAAGTATGAACCCAAGGTGTGGTCCTATGTTATCATTCCCACATTACAAACCCGTTGGGGCTTACTTTTCCAATAACTTGTATGAGTGTATGGAAAAATATTATCGTCATAGTTGGGCTGTTCCTGGTAAAGAATCTTAATTTTAACCTCGCCGTCCTCAAAAAAATTATGGTCACTAGAAAATTTGAGATTTGCTTAATGACCATGAGTATTAAGAACAGGTGCTTATGCACCAGCGTGATTATTTGCTAATTCTTTCTTTTATGTCTCTTTAATGCAGACTCTGCAAGGCGTTGACAAGTCAGACGCAATGCATGACCATTCTCTAGCATTGCTTGCAGAAGAGACCAAAAAACTTCTGAAGAAAGAATCAAGTTTGTTCTCACCAATTTTATCTCAGAGGCATCCTCAATCCATTGTTATCTCGGCCTCACTTCTTCACAGGCTTTACGGGATAAAGTTGGTAAGTACGACTAATATCAGTGGGTCTGCCATTGCATCTGTCCCCATATTACCCTGTTACTTCAGTAATGTTATCTATTGTTGCTGACTTTTAATTCAATTTCGTTCTTTCTTCAGAAACCGTTTCTTGATGGTGCTGAGCATCTGACCGAGGATGTTGTGTCTGTGTTCCCTGCCGCTGATAGTCTCGAGCATTACATAATGTCACTAATTTCTTCAACAAGTGGAGATGGGACTGCAGAAGTTAACTTGAGGAAACTGAACTCATACCAGGTTTGCTAGCTGGGTGATGTTGTTTTCACTTTGTTTCCTATCCATTCTGTGACTTATAGCATTTAGTTAGTCATCATGAAATGAAACCTCAAAAACAAATTAGCTATAGAATGCTTTTAAACTTGGTTCAGGAGACCATGTATGTCATTCAGTTACTGCTTTTTCCTTCCTGTGGCTGTAGTACTGAGTTTTGATTGTGTAACTTTGTCTCTTGTCCTGGGATTCTTTACGGTCGAAGCTCAGTAATTGATAGTTAACACATCAGTCAGGCTGCCATTCTTATGTTTCATTATCTTTCTTTTGCAATGAAGGTTGAATCAGTGTCTGGAACGCTGGTGATGAGATGGGTCAATTCACAACTTGGGCGACTTTTAGGATGGGTTGATCGCGCCTTGCAACAAGAGGTGACTGCTGCATATTCCCCCCACTTTCCAAACCTTCCTTTCTACTCTTTTTAGAAATCCCATTATCACACAAGCACCACTATTAGTTCTTGTTTCTTGCTAGTCAACTTCATTGTGCTATTTCCTTCATTTATTTTCCTGATTTCCCTGCCCCACTATAATTATGTTACTAGGACTTACGTCACCTGATAACAGTTGTTTTCTTAATTATTCCTCAGCGATGGGAGCCAATATCCCCCCAGCAACGCCATGCGCCTTCAATTGTTGAAGTATACAGGATTGTGGAAGAGGTACAACGGCAAATATTCATCTTCTATCTAACCATATAGTGACCACTACGCTTTTGTTATGCTAAAATTATATAATGGTGGAATTCATGATGCTAATGAATTGACTGTAATGCATATTGTGCTAAGAAATAGAATGGTAGGCGATAATGCATCGTGAATTCACTCGCAATTTTTTTGTAATATGCAGCTTAGAGCTCTGAATGATGTGTTTACATCATTCTTTCTTCTTCTCATGTGGAAATTTAGCTCTTCTACCGAGCTCTGCAAACTATTTAACTGTATTGATTATGCAAGATCAATAATGAAAAGAATAATTGAAAAAGCGAATGGCATTTGATGGAGATATCAGATTGGAGTTGTATTAATAATCTAAATAATGATAAATAGCTTTGGTCACCTGGAATTGTGATGCTTAGCCTGCTAAGTCTTTATTGTTTGCAGACAGTTGATCAATTCTTTGCTCTCAAAGTACCAATGAGGTCTTCTGAGCTGAATAGCCTGTTTCGAGGAGTGGACAATGCCTTTCAAGTTTTTGCGAAACATGTGAAAGATAAGTTGGGTGAGTGTACACTAATCATGTCTATAACTACATAACTATGTGATCATGACTGTTCTTGGATCCCTTTCACAAGTATGTACTCAGTTGCCATGATTCTATGATTGAACCATTTGTTATTGGTCATAACTACAGAATCGTGTGCCACATTCTTGAGCATGTACTTGAAAGCAAAGTTGCACTCTTGAGGATGTGTGATTGTTTCATCAATACGATGTGAATGTGGTCTGAAATTACAGTTTTTTGTTTTTTGGAGACGGTTCTGACCCTGGTGAAGGAAACCTTTGTTTCCATCTCTGTACACAACTTCCACCTTGTATTTCACTCTTCCATACTTTTGGCTGCTTTCAGAACTTGAGTCCCATCTATTGGTATCTGCAGGTTTTCTTCCTTGGTCTGCCTAATCTTGCACATGCTTGTGACTACTTTTTCATCTTCTGGTTATATCATGATTGATTTGCATCTCCTCAGTAACTTGCAACATGAATGATCTTTTTCCTTCCTTTCCAGATTAGGCATCTTTTGGCCTTTGATTTCCAATATCCGGCCTCATATGGATGAATTAGCAGCTAACTTTCTTAAGTCTTTTTGTTGTTTCAGAGAACAAGGAAGATTTGATCCCACCAGTTCCTGTTCTTACGCGATACAAGAAGGAAGCCGGAATAAAGGCTTTCGTCAAGAAGGAGCTATTCGAATCTAAGTTGCCTGAAGAGACGACAAAATCACGTGTCGTCGATGTCCAGGCTACTCCTATCTTATGTGTTCAGCTAAATACTTTATTTGTGAGTTTAGAATTTTCTCCCGCATTCTTCATCCAAAATCCAACTAAATAAGGATCTTATTATGCACTGCACTTTGTTATTCCTTTTTTTTTATACATATTCTTACCTTTTGTAAACAGTATGCAATCAGCCAGCTGAATAAATTGGAGGATAGCATTTGGGAGCAATGGACTGCCAAGAAGCCTCGTGAACAATTTATCAGTACGTATCTAAAAAGTTCTAAGCAGTGGTTTGGCGGTTAATAATGATTTTGCTAGAGCTTATGCTTACCATGGACTGCCTTCATAACGACAGAGAAATCTTTAGAGGAGAGGTCCCCAAGTTTAAAGCAGAAGGGTTCATTTGATGGGAGTAGGAAAGATATCAATGCTGCGATTGATCGCATATGCGAGTTTACTGGTAATCATTGTCGGGATCCGTCCACATGTCCATAATTTCGAGGAGTAAAATTTTGCCCTTATTTAACTCTTGGCTTTTTGCAGGTACTAAAATCATCTTCTGGGACTTGAGGGAGCCCTTCATTGAGAACTTATATAAACCATCGGTTTCCCAGAATAGGCTGGAAGATCTTATTGAACCCCTTGATTTAGTAAGATGCAAAGCTATCCTCTGTAACTGGCACTTTTCTTGCATGGCAAGACAGTAACAATGAATTTGGAGAACTCATTGCTTATCATTAACTTCTGCTGCAGGAACTAAGCCAATTGTGCAGTGTAATTTCGGACCAACTCAGGGATCGTATAGTAACAAGCCTCTTACAAGCTTCACTGGTATTTAGCAGCACTCCTGTAAAACATACACAACGTGAATGCTTTAATTTCTACGTCGCGGTTATTCTGTACTAATATTGATGTTATTTTCAGGATGGCTTGGTCCGGGTTCTTTTAGATGGTGGGTCATCTCGAGTTTTCTACCACACTGATGCAAAAATTCTGGAAGAAGATTTGGATGTCTTAAAGGTACTTTCAAATGTGACCTCTACCAAGCCAAAAGGCTAGCTTATCAGTGAAAACATGTCCTTTCGATCATGGTTTTTGCAAGTATCACCTTTTGATCGTCTTATGTCCAAACTGGCCTCTCCCAATTTGCAGGAATTCTTCATTTCTGGTGGAGACGGGCTGCCAAGAGGGGTAGTTGAGAATCACGTTGCACGGGTCAGGCAAGTGATCAAGCTGCATGGATATGAGGTCAGTTACTACTTACTACAGACTGCTATGGTCTTAATCGTCTGCTTTTCACGAACTCTGACGACTCTTATATGAAACTCAACAGACCCGCGAGCTGATTGATGACCTGAGATCCAGTAGTGGGGGTGGTGGCAGCAAGCTGGGTGGTGATACACAGACTCTGCTGAGGATATTGTGCCATCGTACCGATCCAGAGGCATCCCAGTTCCTCAAGAAACAGTTCAGAATACCCAAGTCATTAAGTTGAAGATAGCAAGTTGAGAAGAGGGTTGCTATTTCCTTTTTTTGTTGTTTGTGTTTAAACTGGGATCCTTTTCAGTTTAGTTATCTGTGCATATTATATCTCATTCTGTAATATTTCCCTTTGCTTCCTCACCTTCTCCCTTGTAATAATGTATGTTATGTATATTTCAGGATGTTTCTTCATTTTGTTGGCTTATGCATGTTCTATTGAAATTCCAGAAAACACTTATTTTTATTTTGATAAGGACGATATATGTTTGGTTTTTTAATTAGTTGTGGGAGCCCTTCATTAAGAATTTATATTGACCATTGGTTGATGTCAATTTCGATCTGGCCCGTTGTACCCGACTTGTTTGGCCTGTTTTGGGTGGATTCGACCTGTCTCGTAGATGGGGTGGGGCAGCATGGGTACTCTCATCGATTTGACCTGCCTTGACCTGCCCTATTCTCAATCCGTTCTTATCTAAATTACATGTAATCTTAGTCAAATTACTTAGAATTTTTCTTTTATTACATTACATTTTAGCTACAATAAAGTTGTAAATTAGTTAAAACCTCAATTTCTCGAATAATATAACTACATTTATCATAATATGATTTGTTTTCTTGGTCTTATAATGAAATGAACAAACACATAAATAGCATGCCCATTAGGTCGATTTGCTCCGATCTAGGACCCATGTAAATTACCTGACCTGCCATAGGGTGGATACAGGTAGTATGATACCCGCCCCGGACCTGCCCCATTGCCATGCTGGTGCATATGGGCGTCAGTATAGTGCTTATGACAAGCTCTATATAGAGATGACAATTTCGACATGACCCGTTTTACCCGATCTGTTTGGCCTGTTTTGGGGTGGGTCCGACCCGCCGGGTAGGCGGGGCGAGGCGGGCATCGGTACTCTGATCGACCCGACCTGCCCCGGCCCGCCCCATTCTTGACCCGTTCTTGCCTAACTTACATGTAATTTTAGTAAAATTACTTAGGATTTTCCTTTTATTACATCATATTTTAGCTATAATAAAATTGTGAATTAGTGAAAATATCAATTTCTCTAATAATTTAACTATATTTATCGTAATATGGTTTGTTTTCTTGATCTTATAATAAAAGTAACGAATATTTCTAATATTTTTCATATAAATTGCATACACATTGGGTCGACCTGCCCCGACCCGCCACCCATGATAAATTATCCGACCTGTCACGGGACGGGTCTGAGTACCAAGAAACCCGCCCCAGAACTACCCATTGCCATTCCTAGCTGTATAAGCATGCTAATCGAATTAATCTTAAAGGTCGTTACTTTCAAAACTCGAAAGTCATATCAATTGTAGTGTCTGCTAAACCAACCTGACAACCAATCATCTATTATTATCCAAACCATTCATAATAGAACTAAGACATCATAATCATTTTGATTTGTTATTAGAGAACTTATATTATTTGATTTGTTAATCAGAGAACTTTTACAGAGTATAATTATGAGTTATTGAAACCCAATACATTATTCACGCACCGCTTCTTAATAAAACCCATTGAAATTGAAGAGAGCACCATGAAATGTGTATAAAATAATTGGTCATATGAGGGATTTCTGAAGTTTCAACACCGTAAGCTTTTAAAATTTAATTATACATTCTGATATCATAAAAAAAAATTAATTGCTCAGATTGTTCTATAATTCATTTAGGGAATATCCTCCCTCTCTGTCACATACTCACTTAGGGGCCATGAATGGACGAGATGGGGTAAATTGGCATAAAACAGAAGTAGAAGAACGAAGGTGAAAATGACAAATTAGTCCATGTTAAAAGTTAAAGGGTGTGGTTAGAAAAAAGAAAAAGTAGAGGGGCTGATCAGAGAGTGAGAAAAATCAAATTGGTATAAATCACCGTTTAAAAGCCCTATAAACCCCAACTCCCCCGAGAAAAGAAGGTTCCGCTCAAGTCAGAACAGAAAGAAGCTTGTAGTAGCGTCTGAAGTACTGAACATCTCTCGCACATCCCATCCCGTTCCCCGCCATGGCTTCTGCAGGCGCAGAAATATCAGCTCCGGCCACCGGGCCGGCGGCCGCGAATGTGGAGTGGCATGTGAGGCCTCCCAATCCCAAGAATCCAATCGTCTTCTTCGATATCACTATTGGTACCATCCCAGCTGGTCGCATCAAGATGGAACTTTTCGCCGATATTGTCCCCAAAACTGCTGAAAATTTCAGGTTCCCGCTTTCACCCATTTTTTGGATCCACCAAGTTGCTTTTGACTATCCCAAAATTAACTCTTCTTCTGTGTTTTTTACTTTGATTTGTTGCAGGCAGTTCTGCACCGGTGAGTTCAGGTAGGGTTTCCAGCGTTTAATTTTCCTTTTTCAACTATTCGACAAATTTCTATTCTGCTTGACAAGTCGCTTGGATGATGTGTGGGTTTGGAATGGCAGGAAAGCTGGATTGCCTGTTGGTTACAAGGGATGCCAGTTCCATAGGGTTATTAAGGATTTCATGATTCAAGCAGGTGACTTTGTCAAGGTTGGTCTATATTCATTCTCCCATTATGTTTTATATGATTCAATTGAAGTTTTCGACATTTGGTTCTGGATGTACTACTTTACTACAAGGAACTCTGATAATATGCACCTGTTTACGGTTCGACGCCCTTACTTACAATAAGTCTGAGTCTTTGTTGCTCTGCGTGTTCCGAGTGTTCTTTTCTAGTGTAATGAACTAGGGCACTAGTTAATGTGTGAGTAATGTTAGCCACAACCTTTCTTCATCTTGTTTCTAGTCGAATTTCTTTTGAGTTGCGAAACTGCTCTCAGGCTTCGCGTTGTGGTGTGGGTTATAGGTTTTGGTGCTGTAGGATGTTTGTTCGTGACTCGTGAGCATTGTGCAATCCTTGATCAAATTAAGTTTTCTCCTCAGGGCGATGGTAGTGGATGTACTTCCATTTACGGGCATAAGTTTGAAGACGAAAATTTTGTTGCCAAGCACACTGGGCCTGGTCTACTATCAATGGTAAGCTGTCTTGGGCTTCGTATCATTCCTGGAAATGGCATTTGCTGTTTTTATCCCTTCTGCATATTACCTTTTAAACTCTTGTTGCCTCTTGAGTTTTGTAAAGTTGTTCTTGATGTATATTCACAGTCCGCAGGTAGAATGAAACATTCCTCCCTGATTAGTATTGGAAGTGCCTCCCAAGTTTTGTAGGGCAGTTAATACAGACAATTGAGTTACTTTAACTGATGTGTAACTGGATGTTCTGTCATAAGCTTTCTGCCCTTGAAATGGCTTTTGACTCCAATACACTAATGTATAATAGAATCCTACAGAGGCGCATGATAGTTTCCAAAATTCATCAATCTTAATCATGCTGGCTGGCTTTAGTTAACTTTTGTCACTCATTTGTTTTTGTGTCATGTGTTGCAGGCTAACAGCGGACCAGGTACAAATGGCTGCCAGGTATGTATCATCAGTTCTTGTTATATGTCTATCAGGGTAGACCTGTGTAGGAACATGATCAGTTGCTCACACATGCAGCTACTTAATTCACAGAATCTTTAGTGGATTCCAGAAGTTGGTCTAATCCATGAATGTTTGCCTTCAAAATTGCAGTTCTTCCTTACCTGTGCAAAATGTGACTGGCTCGACAATAAGCATGTTGTCTTTGGGGTATGTTTCTCTCGACTTACTGCTATATCTCTGCAACTCAGATTCTCTATGCGCCTCTGATGGATCGAATTGTATATACCTAGTCAACCTGCTTAATGTTGGCCCCTCCTTTGAGTTGATTGATTGTTCTTTCGCAGAGGGTCCTAGGAGATGGCCTCTTGGTTATCAGGAAGATAGAGAATGTAGCTACTGGACCAAACAATCGACCGAAGCTGGCTTGTGTTATTGCAGAATGTGGGGAAATGTAGAAGCTGTTGGATCAAAGAACTTCCCCAATTTTTGAGGATTTCTAACAAAACAATGTCTAGGCACCTGCCTCCTAGATGGACATTTTCAAATCTAGAGATATACTCACTGGTTACCGTTGTATGGGACTGCTGTCTTTGTTCAAGAGTTTCCAGTTAAGAGGCAACACTTGCCAGTCAGGGCAGTTCTCTTGTACATGAGAGGATTGAAGGTGTTGAATGGATTGCGAGTATCTTTGAATTGCCCATTTTGGCCAATTTCGCTGGCTATGTGATTGATCCATTAGTTGTATGAAACTGGTGAATGATTGAAAGTGCCATACTAGATTGAAAAATTCGTACCCGGTGAAAATACACAATGCATACCAGGAACTTGTGAATTCATATCATAAAATCACACTAAATACTTGTTAGTTGTTAATTCATATTAAGATTAACTAACCTACCGTTATTGATTCTATTTTAGAAAATTGACAAATTTATGTCACAAAAACACCAGTTCGTCATACCCAAAGAGCCACACAGAAACTAGTGAATTTATACAAACCGTATCAACTATCAATCAGTGGCAATAACTCATACTGACTAGTATGATCAATTTACTAAAGAATGATGTTATTTTGGTGAACTTAATTAATAAAAAAATAAGTTATTATTTATTTTATGAATTTTAAATTTTGATGTTAGATGTAATTTGTTGGATTCAAGTATAAACGTTTCGATATTAACTTTAAATGTTGTATTTAAATTTGAGTATTTTTATTTAAATTTGAAATATCCTATTTTATATAAATATGAATATGAATTGAAAGTAAATTGTTCTCAAATATGGTTTTTACATGATTAAATTCATTTGATATTAATGATTTTTCACAAGGTTCAAGAAGGCGCTAGGCAGACGTTGGGGTCTTGCCTAGCGTCTAGGCAATTTAAGAGATCATAAAAAAATTTACATACTGCGACGGTATATAGTAAGAAAGAAGGTTGGGTTGACTGAAGTTAGATACAAATGGGAGATGAACTGAAGCTGTACATATGGCGACATGGTTTTGGTTGTTTAACGATCGATGGTAGCTAATAATAGACAAAGCACCGGGTCAGCCAATGTTGGAGACGAGAAGCACTCTAGTAGCATACGTTAAATTTTGGGGCATGGGAGAGATCATTGCTATTCAAAGACCTATGTTGACTTATTTTTTTAATATTCCAATCAAACAAGAAGGCATGTGTAAGATGGGTCATTGGGAGTAACTAATCAAACATAAGGATGACCATCGTTTTGAGACATTTTAATACATTTATTTATTTTTCTTCTTTAGTCACTAGCCCGCCTATCTCCGATTAATCGCGGCTAACTCCGTTTAGGAGGTGCCTAGACGTTTGAATGTTTAATTGTTTGCCTAGGTTCTAGGCGAGACGTTCTCTCACTACCTAGCACCTAGGCTCACCTAAGCGTAAGCAGAACTACACCTTCCTAAACCCTGGTTTCACATTTTTACATACTTTGTTAAACCGCATAAACCGACTATGTCACTTACGAGTTCAACCATTACACTTTTTAAACCGGCTCAATAGTATAAACCTGTCTGACAACCTAGTGTAGACCATCCGGTGTCGTTTCACCATTTTGACCACCAAATGCACTTGCGTCCTAACAATTATAATTTATAAGTCTAGAGGTTCGCTCGCGAAACGAGCTTCTCCGTAACCAGCCATCGTCTCACGTCCAGGGAACCCCTGTCGTGTGAATTGAGAGAGGGAACCAAGTCTACCGGGATCGGAGTGCTTCAAGAAAAAAATCGGAGAAATGGGTGAGAGGGCGGCAGCTGCTTCGTTGAAGTTCGTTACGGTGCAGGCGAACTCGGCCAGCCTCGCCGAAGCGAGGGCTCGGGTGTTCGAATTCTTCAAAACCACCTGCCGATCCATCCCTACCGTCATGGAAATCTACAATCTCGAGGACGTCGTCAACGAGTCCCAGCTCCGTTCCGCCGTCTCCTCCGAGATCCGCAGGCACGCTCACATCACCAATCCCAAGGTTCTCCTTCCCCTTCTCCTCATTTCTATCTTATGGCTCCCAATGCTTTTTGCCCTAATTGGGGATCTGCGGTTATGGCGTCCTCCGCAATCTCGCCTTTTGTTTCCTAAGTATTGAATTGCCTCGGTGAAGCGACTTTACAATCACATAATCTTCTGAAATGTACTTGCTTTTCGCGTGGGTGGACTGACTCTCAACGTTAGTCAAGTGTCCTCCATTAATTGAAAGGTTATGGCTCCCTTGTTGGTTTAAGTTTCATGCCATGCATTAGGGGAAAGAGAGAGGACTTGGGGCAGCTTGGGTCGTTCCTATTGCCTGTTAATCTATGTCGTATTGGTTTAGGTTAATCTATCCATGCAATTCCTAGTCCCTAGTTTGATGGGGTTTCCTTTTAGTAACTGTTATGTCCCTTCTGAAGTCAGTGGCAATTGCGGATTTAGAGTATTGGTTCATGGAAGATAGGCCACGGTGTCGAGAAGGTTTCTTCTTAACCAGATGGTTGATGTAGCTAGATTGTGGTTGGTGCGCATGTAATCTGTGTGCACTGTCGAAGTTGAACTGCTTGAAAGGTGAAGGAAGTTGGTGAAGAAAGCTGTTAACTGATAGTGCCCAAGTAAAAACTTCTACCAAGTTGTATAAAATTCCTTAACAGAATGCTTAAATCAACATCTGGCAAGTTGAGTGGGTTGTGCTTTTTTTGGGTATAGTTTCCTTAACAGAATGCTTAAATCAACATCTGGCAAGTTGAGTGGGTTGTGCTATTTTTTTGGTATTGTGAGCTTTTGGAAGTGACGCGATTGGAACAGCATGATCTGTACTTCCATGATTAGAAGAAAGAAGCATTATTCATGACCAAAAAAGAAGAACCATGATCTGAACATGCATTACTAAGTGAACTAGCAATCATTTTAGAATTTTTTTTGATGTGGTAAAGCATGGGTTGGTGCTCCTCCCTGGTCAGAATTACTCTAGCCACATGTGGGATGGATAAGGCTCTTTCTCACTATCCATTTACTGTTGGCAAGTAGAATTGAATCCTCTAAATCTTTGAATTATGCCATCTATTGACAAATGAATTGGTAAAACAAATCCAAATGCAATTCACTTTATTTCGATTATAAAAAATTAGTTGTGTTACTTTTACTGGGCTGCTGACTGTTGCGTTCTGAAATGCTTGCATGCATATAATTTGGGGTTGTTGAGACAGTAGCATAAGTACCACTCTAAAGTAGTTGGGTTCCCTCCAGCCGTTTGTCTGTTGCATTTGAACCATTCTTTTTCTTGCTTCATGAAACGTGTGTATCTGCACTGTGTTTGTCAATTTTCCTACGCAATCCTGAGGATCTATTCGTCAGAGTCCGTAGATGGATTGGAGTAGCGAGAAAGCATTAGCTTGGTTATCATCAATCTTTCTGCACATTCATATCTGGAGACACTCACTAAATTATGCTGTATGGTTGCTCGCTGATGGAGAAAAAACTTGCAGGTGATTGACATGCTACTTCAGAAGGGTACAGAAGAGTTGCACAACATTGTGCAGCACTCAAAGCAGCGTCACCACATCATTGGGCAATATGTAGTGGGCCAGCGAGGACTTGTGCAGGATTTAGGAAGCAAGGATGAAGGGACGTCCGATTTTCTCAAGAACTTCTACAAGAGCAACTACTTCTAGATGCTCAGAAGGTAAAGGAGTGCTTATGATTTTCAGTCTTGCTTTCACCATATGGCTTCTCCAAGCGAAATAAGGACCATTGCCATGGAAGAATCAATCATCCTTTAACTTCGTTTTGAATTCATGTCAGTTGCTGCAAACGAGATTTTTAGCTTGGGTTTCACTAGTAGAACAGGGTATTTGCCTATTTGGCCCGAATATATGTCATTGATGCCAGTGAAGAAGGCTCGGATCCTGTTTTCTAATTTCCCCCCCTTCCCCTAAGTGCCTATTGTCAAGCTTTCTTAATGATAACAATAATGATGACATTCCCGGGATACCATATTACTGCGTGGTTGTATTGGTTGACTGTTGTACTTAGTCTTGCTTTATTTCGATGAAACGTTTTGGTTAAGTTGTTTCAAAATAAGCAATTGAGCCAAAAATAAAACAATTTGGGGCTAGACAATTTGAATTACCTCATTTCGTATCGGTTTGAATTGATAGAGGAAGGTAAGTTTCGTATCGGTTTCAATTGATAGGAGAAGGTAAGTTTTCTGAAATGATGCATAAATCGTGAGTTGATACACTTTTAGGGCTCAGCTTCGATAACTAAATCTGATCTTTGGATTTTAGGGAGTCCATAAAATTCAGATATAAAGGTTGAGAATATACATTTTATGTTTTTTAGTTTTCTTAATCGACTCTTATCTTCCTCGTTCTAACTTGGATTTTAATTTTTTTTGCACAGATGAAGCGAGTTTGTTGTGATCTACAAAATGAGATCTATTTTCAATACGCTTTGAGAAAGAAAAAAAATTATACCTCTCGTTACCAACTTCATACCATTTGGTATCTCGTTTTTAAGTTGTTTTGAAAATATTTGCACAGAAGGAATGAGTTCATCATGATTTATTGGATCTCCAATTTATGGGAGAAAAAATACAGGACAAAAAAATACCACTGATAACACCTAAATTAGTGTTATTTAACCTTCATATTAAGGTTTGTTTCGTGTCAATTCGTGCCAATAATTGTTTGAACAGTGCCAATTGCATCCCTATTTCGTTCCTATTTGATTTTGATGTGATTTTACGGTACTTTAGACAATACATGCGAATTAGATACAAAAAAGGACGCAAGTGTAGCAAAAGGAGCAGAAGACTGAAGATCGCAACCTGGAGAAGAAGATCATGACTGAGATCATAGCCTGCGAACTCAAGGTGAAGATCGCGACATGGAAGCCCAAGATCGCGACCGCGAATCTGAAGGCTGAGGGCGCGAACTTCGCGAAGAAGCAGCCGAGGAGAAACATAGAGTTTTCCTAGTCAGAACACGACCATAGTGAAAATTGACCGCGAGAAAGTTTGCGGCCGCGACTCGTGTATCGCGACCGCGAAGTCAGCCGGCGAACTCCTTTTACTTTAAGGCCAAAATGGTAGCGTCGCAAGATCGCGACCTCCATGAAGAAGATTACCCGCGATCTTTGCCCTTCCTGACCGCAAACTTCTCCGTCCTCTGATACTATAAATAGAAGACCCCTTTCCCCTATTAAGGGAGCTGATTTTGAGATAGAATTTATGGTTTGAGAGAGAGAAGATGCGAAGGAGGAGCTAGAACAGAGGAGTCATATTTCTCAACATCAAGTATTTTTGCACCTCTTTATATATCTTCTTCTCTCATTTATGGAGTAGTCCTCTTAGTTACTAGGAGTTCTAAACCCCAAACCCTAGTTTAAGGGTTACTACGTAATGAATGAATATTTTTGGGTTTTAATGAATGAATGTGTTTATCTAGTTGATTTGAATGTTTTTCTAGCTTTGATTATGTTTGAGACTTTGGGTAAGTCGCCTAATTTTCTCTACTAGCCTACTTGAGCTTTTACGGTGGGCATGAAGTATTAGGGTTAGACAGGTATGCGCCATCAAACAAATTGAGGCTAGATGTATGAATAAGATCCTATGGTGGACGAGGCGGTAGAACCCTTGCCATAGGAATGCCTCCCTAGATGAAACCCAAGATGAAACCTCGGTGTCAACGGTTGGTAGTACCCATTGAAAGGAGCTATGAGCTTAATGCCCTTGATACAATAGCCTAGATCGAGTTGACTTACATGGGTTTAGGGGAGGCGTGTGGATAACCACGAAAGCCCACAGAAAAGAGCTTGCTCACCACATTCGACAAACCCTAACTATCTAGACATTGCATAGTAGTCCTAAACAAGGGTGAGGGATAGTTCCCCGAAGTATCTGCTTTTCTCTTTATTTACTCTCTTAATTAGTTAGTTCGCTAATATCCTCCAAACAAACCCTTAAAGCGATCGGTTAGATAACAACAACGATGGAAGTAGGTCAGGATAGTAGGACCCGAGTGAATCCGACTCTATTAACTAGTTAGTTCGCTCATATCCTCCACACAAACCCTTAAACCAATCGGCTAAATAAAAATAACGTTAGAAGTAGGCTAGGGTAACAGGACCCGAGTGAATACGACATTGATTGTCACTATATGACAACGTCATTTTAGGTTAAACTTAGCCTAGGATGGGGTAGTGATTTACACATGCTAACCAGTGACAATAATATGCACGAATGAATGCCATCAAGCGTTTTGGTGCAGTTGCCGTAGACCCTTGGTAATAGTAGAAAACCATTAAGTTGTTAGTTTAGCCTTTATTTTGTTTTGTTTTGTGTTTTTGTTTGTGTTTTTGTTACTTTCGTAGTTTGTTTCGTTTTGTGTTTTGTTATCCAGCTTTGTGTGTCACGGGTTGTTGAGTTTGTGTGTTGTAGCACCTTTGTATGCAAAGAAGGGATTCCTTGGAGATATTTTCTCTTGATACAGAAATCAAAAGAACCCTTTGGAACCTAAGAAAAGTTGCAAGACATCAACCTCCACCAATGATGGATTAACAACAACAACCTCAAGTTCCACCAAGGCCTAAAACAATGAGATCCTACTCTTCTGCGTCTTTTTCCCTTTTCACTGGTTGGGGAATCCAGGAAGTGATTCATGAGTCAGCCCCATCATTCCATCACTTATTGGGAGGAGTTTGGCAACAAATTTCTGAATAGATTCTACACCCCTCCAAAACCGCAAGCATGCGAGCCATTATTAATACATTCAAGCAAAAGGAACAAGAAACTTTGCGAGAAGCATGAGAGAGATTTAATGCCTTGCTCTACAAATGCCCTCACCATGGTGTTGAGGATTGGATAAAGGTTGAGATTTTCTTCAAGGGAATCAAAAGCAAAGAGAAACATCACATCTTGATGTTGACTGGGGGAAATTTGAAGAACAAGGAATCTGAGGATATCATGAACCTCTTGCAGGACATGGTGGAAAACAAACATGATTGGAAGGAATTTAAGGGGGGGACAAGATCACGAGGATTTAAATTCTTCCCCGTTTTCACCTAACCCATAAGTGGATAACAAAACTGAGTAGTCACTAGCGACAATAGGAGGTTATAAGTGGCCCTCACCACCCAGTCAGGACCAAGTTGAAGTCATGATTCAGGCCTAATTGTACATGTTTTACCCCCGTTTTCCTTAGGCGTTTGTGGCAATTTCACTCCTAAAAGGGTGGTTTTACGCTAGGTTTCTTGTGTTTTAGCGTGTTTCAGGATCCAACAGGTGAAACCTGTTAGTGTTGTGGTATATGATCCACAATTGAACCTCTCCTAACAACTCGAGTTATTGGGAGCAACTGGTTCTTGACATGGTATCAGAGCCTTCTGTGACCAAGAGGTCTTGAGTTCGATTCCCGGTGACCCCCATTTGTTAAGCACATGGTATTCGTCTTCAGACCTGTGCAAACTTCAAGCCCTTGTGAGTGGCTTTCGTTTGAGGGGGCGTGTTAGTGTTGTGGTATATGATCCATGATTGAACCTCTCCCAACAACTCGAGTTATTGGGAGCAACTGGTTCTTGACAAAACCAACCCCGGAGTCGAAAGTTGGAAGAAAAGGAGCAAAAAGGAGGAAAAAGCCTATGTTCAAGGTCTGCCATTGGAGTTCAAGGTCTTACAGGACCGTGAACTAGAGCCAAAATCCGTGAACCACGAAGCATCCAGGGAGAGTCCGAAGGTTACTGACGCCAAGTGAGTTCACGGTCGCTAAGACCGTGAACTCTAAGCACAAACCGTGAACCGTGGATGTGAAGCGTGCGTTTTGGTCTCAACACTGAGTTCACGGACGCATTTCATTGTTCACGGCCGTGAACTGAGGTCTAAGACCGTGAACTGCTCAACGCGTCCTTGAACTAAGACCGTGAACTGATCAACGCGTCCTTGAACTCAGCTCTAAGACCTTGAACTGGGCCTGATTTGGGTATAAAAGGAGAGAGGAGCTGAAGGAGAAGGGAGATCTAGTTTTTGGCATGGTAAAGGAAACCGTACCGGACATCATACCGGATTCCTTTCTGGTAGGGTATTTTGTGGTACGACCGTGGTTCAACCGTTTCATACCGGTATATATCGTTTTTGTAATAATAAAATATATTTTTTGTCAAAAAACCGTGCCGCCAAAATCAGAGTATCGTCTCGGAGTAATACCAGATGTATCGGAATATACCAGACAATATATACAACTAATTAGGATAAATTTGGTGAACTATAATTGTAAAAAAAAAAAAATAGAAAATAAAAATTTAGTAACAATTATATATCTCTTTCTTCGTATCCGACAGTCTTGCTCCTGATCGTGGCTCGCATCCGTGCTTTAATAAAAAATTCAACAAAATGACTATTATTTGAACCATATATAAATATGGATGATTGAACTATAAATAGTTATGCTTATGGGGATTAGATAGCATTTTGATCTTATATTGAAAGAGATAAGGATTAACAATAAATTAAAAAGAAAGATATAAATTTTTTTTAAAACAAATTAATTTATCACTTTGGGATTATCGCCTATCTTCATTCTCACTTTCTTTGGCCATTTCTCCGTCCCCATCCTCCTCTTCACAGAAGCCAATTCCCCCTCTGCCATTTTCTATTTCTCTCTTCTCCGACTCGAGCCAAACCCCGCCGAGACTACCCCTCTATCCCACGGTTTCCACCGTTCATCATTCTTTATCTTTAAACTTTAAAGTCCTCTCTTTCCATACCCAGTACCCGCATCCTCACCACCCGATAACCCATCATTGACAGCTAATGTCTCTACTTAAGGAATTCACAGTCACGAGCAGTCGCCAACTAGTCATAGACCATTGAGCAGTTCAAGGACGGATCTAATTTTGGATGGGTGTTGATGGCATTAACCAATTACAATCCCCGTGTCGGCTGATACATCCTGGTCGGCGACTACTAGGAGCAAAACGAGTGAAGCAATGAAGAACAGATGTTGTATGCCGATAGCGACGGTCGGAGGCCATTTGGGGAGTCAATCATCATGCTTGTGTAGGCGAATTGAAGTGCCCACGCAAAATTGCGCTCCATCCATTTGGGGAGTCAATCATCCGGAACCACCGTCGCAGCCCGCATGCAACCGACAGCAGGGACGTCGCGGCGGCAGGCTCGTCGGTCACCCAGTCGCCAGAGGCGTTTACCACATTTTTATTACCGCCGGTCTGATTTAAACCGGGCGGTATACCGGTTCATGCCGATTAAGCCGATTAAACCGGCCGACACGGTAGAAAGGAGGCTGGTAGAGTATCGTTTCGTCGCTGGTCGGATTCCCGGTTTTACCGGTTGAACCGGCCGGTACGATCCGGTTTCCTTTACCATGGTTTTTGGGGGAAGAAACACTTTCCTCCTCTAGGGTTTCAACCTAAAACACCAAAGGGGATTTCTAGTGAGAAAGAGTGCTAGAGTGATATTGGAGCATCATTGGACCGCTTCTGTTATCCGCTTAACAAGCGGTCTGCAATCAAGAGATTCAACGTCAAGGTTCGAGTCCCTTTTATCAACAATGGCAAACCCAGTAGGCGGTTCAACATCCTGAGAATACCATTTACCCTTCGGGCGAGCAAATAAATACTCCTTAAACCAAGGAGAATCTAATTTAGGCACCCCATTGACAAATCCCACGCGAGACTCCTGTCTGTAGTACGACCAACAGTTATCTGAACTGCGCATCTTATATAGCAAGCGAAACGCGTCGAATGAGGGCATCTCGCCAATTTTCTCACAAGTACCTCGAAAAGAGATGGAATGGAAAATGATTTCGGGAGACAGGCAACCCAGCGTACAACCAGGGTAAAGCAAGGTGCGCGTCAGAATGGTGTCGAGCGGGAATGTAAGCCTCATTCGAACGTGCTCCACGTGAATAGGCAACCACCCGCCAGGACAGGAGCCGGACCGCCCAACAGACGAGAGGGCCGCATAATCCCTGTCAACAGAAAGACCGTGAGTCTTGAGTTGGCGAAGTACCTGATGGGGCTTATAAGCCGCATCGTTCGGCGGTCCCTGCTCGTAGGCGGACACAAGGCACTTCTTCGCCTTCCCACATATCTTCGTGTATCTGTACATGATACGTGGTGTCTCAAGGAACTGAAAGGCCTTAACGGGAAGCACATCAGACACCACCAGGGAGGGTGACTGATTTGCGTCGTCATCGGCCTGGCGATCGGCAGAAGTCCTCTCCACGCTAGAGCTAGAAAGGGCAACTAAGGGTACGACACAGGCCGGTCCGCTATCTGCCTCCGAATAACTAAAATCTCCATGGTTGTCGCCAACCATCGAAGACGACCCTTGTAGCCCAGCGAAAGTACCAACAGTTGCCTCGAGATCCTTGACTAACCCTAAAAGGCCATAATCAAAGACCGC